GAATTTTCTCCCTCTTAGAATTTAGACTTCAATAGTATTTCTCAAACTCCTTGGAAGAAGGCAGTTTCCTCAAGGAGAAAATCTATACTTGAAAGTTGCGAACTACTTCCAATTTTCCATATGCTGTGCTTGTGCAGCAAATTTCTTAATGCTGTGTCTTCTAGGAGGTAACTGTCTATCAGAAACAAGAATGGCTGCATCAGCAATTACGCAGCCTGACTGTTCCTGGGCTCCAGCAGTTTCTACAGAAGAGAGATGAAAGTTTGATTCATTTGTCAAGGATTTATACCCTCACCTGCTTCCTAAAAAGACTGTAGGTGGCATACAAAAATATAATGAACCAATTAAAAATAACAGAACAGAAAGGTTAAAAGGAGCAGAGAAATTGATGTCAATAGGCTCATGGAATGATCTCATCCCTGCAGCTAAGCACTGAATTTAGCACTGAGTGGTATGGTGGCACCGAAGGCAAAAAGACAAATACTTTAAATTATTATTTTTTAAATTATTAGATAAAAGTAAATTTTGATAAAAGGGGAAATTCCTTTAACATGATTGTTATTAATTCATAGATTTCGATTTCTATTTCATGTTTCTGTAAAGGCAGTCTCCATTCTCCAGTGACACTGGCCTTTTGGCTGTCCCTGCCACAAGGCACTCCATCTCTTGACTCCACACATTTTCACTGGCTCTCTTGCATGACTAGAATGATTGTCTTCCCTATCTCTGACTTCCTTCAAATTTCAGCCCAAATGCCTACGTGAAGCTGTTCCCAATTTCCTTTAATGCCAGTGTCATCTCTTGAAGATCATTCCCAACTTATCCCATATGTAACTTGCTTGTACATAATTGTTTACATGTTATCTCCCTCATTCGATCATGAACCTCTTTTCTACTTTCTTTGTGTCCCCAGTACTTATCAGCGTCAGCAAATAGTAGGTGCTTAATAAATACTTGCTGAGTTAGCTTGACAAAATGCTGCCAGCATTCCTTCATAATGAAACTCCTAAAATATTTCCCCTCTTCTCTACCCACTTTTTTGACCTGTAAGGTATTAGCAGGGCAGCTAGGGAGCACAGTGGATAGAGAGCTGGACTTGGAGTAAGAAAGACTTCCCTTCATGAGTTCAAATCTCTCCTCAGAAACTTATGAACTATGTGACCCTGGTTCAGTCACTTCATCCTGTTTGCCTCAGCTCCTCATTTGCAAAATGAGCTGAAGAAGGAAATGGCAAACTACTCTCATATCTTTGCTAAGAAAACCCCAAAGGAGGCCATGGAAAGTCAGAAAGGACTGAAATGACTAAACAACAAGGTATAAGCAACCCATAACCCATATTCTCTTGAATTTCTTCCCCCTTTGGCAATTTATATTATTTACATTAATTTTAGAAACAGTCTCTTGCTTATTAAATCAAAGATAGTGACCAGGTACTCATTGACTCCTGGATAGTTTCTTTACTTATGATATCTCAGGCAAGGGGACAGCTAGGAATAGTTCCCCATATTATTTTTAAAAAGCCATGGGGCAGCTAAATAGAGCGCTGGTCCTGGATTCAGGAAGACCTGACTTCAAATCTGACCTCAGACACTGGACACTTACTATCTGTGTGACTCTGGGCAAGTCACTTCACCCCATTGCCTCAGAAAAAAAAAAAGCCATGACCACAATGGAGGAGTAGAATGCACTCATGGGTAAAAGGAGCATAGGCATTTGACCCAGCAACTAGGAGTGGAGCTTGGAAGAACCACATAGAGAAGAGCAGAAGATTCCTTTTCAGGAGGATGATTGCTGACCAGCTGCTCTCTTCCTCCTCCTTCCTGAAGACGACTTGCTGAGTTTCTAGTAACTAATCCCTCTGGTGATTGAGAAGTAGATATCTCCAACTCCTCCAACAACTAAGGCCCACTTGTTTCCTTTCCCTCTAGTTCAAACTCTATTTTCTACAAGAAGCCTTTTCTGTCCCTTCCCTGTCCTTCTCCTTAATGACTCCTCTGAGATTGCCTTGTAATGTATCTTGTATACACAAACATTTGCATGCTGTCACCATCATTAGAATATGAGGTCCTTGAGGGCAGAGACCAAGTTTCTGCCTTTCTTTGAATCCCCAGTGCTTAGCTCAATGCCTAGCACATAGTAAATGGTTAGTAAGTTCTTATAGTGTGTTAGTTAAAGGCTCTATGCAACTCCCTAAGACCATGAGTTGCAGAAAAGGTCTTAACCTGCATTGGTAAAGGAAGCTTCCTCTTCTGGGAGTTCCCTATTCCAATGAAGTCACGTGTTGAGTTCCAGTCACGTGTTGAGTTCCAATCCCTACGAGACTTTGACCATATAAGTATAATAATAATCATGATGCATATCTACTTTAACATTTATAACTAGAAAAGATGGTACAGCTATTTATTAGTGTAATGAGGCTGAGAAATTCACCTTTTGGTAGGGGGTGAATTAGATTCTAAGGAATTCTAAGTTCTCTCCTAACTCAAAAAAAATAAAATTTTTTGATGGTGGAATGGATAGTAGGATAATATACCATTTGCACTGTCATGGAAACCAGTAATTTTCAAATCTTGTCTGTAGGCCTAATTTTTCCTCTTCTGTTTCCTCTTAATGAGTCAGTAGCCTAGGACAGAAAGATTCCCAACTGCTTTAATCTATAAAATGGGCACTGTGATCATATAACTTATCTCAAAGACCCCATAGAATCACTCTATGGGGAACTCATGAAGAATAATGCAGAAATTTGACCTTGTTTCGCAATTACAAATGCAAAGGTCTTAATCAGAATTATGGTTACTTGAGGGAGATGATCTCCCCTCTTCTTCACTACTTCTCTCCCACTCTCATTTTTCTTTCAAATTATCTGCTTTAATTTAAAGAGGCCATTCTGAGGACAAGAGCCCCTTGAAGGGAGGCAAAGCCATCCCAGCATCAACTGTTTCAACATAGCAGGAGGTGTAACATTGGAAACCATAGTCACACACAGGGGTAAAAGGAGTTAATAATGGATCACCTGGAGAGATATGGACATAAAACCATATTCTGGGCCACTGGGGTAGATCAGAGGGTGAAACAGAAAGGGATCTTAGAATTATGATCTCAAACCTACAGTGAGCTACTCAAAGTACTCTGATGGTATACCTCAGCAGCCTTTTGTCCTCTTGTTCAGATGAATATATAATTGGATTGAAATGTCTTTATACAAATAGTTCAACTAGATGAGTGCTTTAAACTTAAGACAAATATGAATTTGGATTTCAGACCACTGTTAGTTTATGCAAGTGGAACTCCCTGAGAAGGAGTTTTCCATTCATGATCAGTTTGGGGAAATAGGTCCCCATATCTATTAATTAAACAAGGCCCTTTGTGTTTGGTTGATAAGGTAATGGGGTGGTGTTGCTCTTCACCCTCACATCTCAGTTTCCTCTAGTGTATTCCTTTCAAAAGGCCATTCCTGATCTGCTCATAGACCTCAAGCTAAAAGGCCATTTACTCCAACCCCCTCATTTTTCAAAGAAAAGAACTGGGGTCCAGGGTGGCATGTTAGTCGTCTCACCAAATCACTATGTATTCACATGTTTTAGTGTGTATGTACATATATGTGTGTGTATGTTTATGCCTATGTATACATATGCATTTTGTTGTTGTTCATCAGTCATTTTGGTTGTGTCCCATTTGGGGTTTTCTTGACAAAAATACTGAAGTAGCTTGTCATTTTCTTCCCCAACGCATTTTACAGATGAGGAAACTGGAGCAAACAGGTTTAAGTGACTGTCCCACAGCTAGCAAAAGCCTGAGGCCAGATTTGCACTCAGGAAGAGTCTTCCTGACTCTTAGCCCAGTGATTTATCCACTGTGCCACTTAGCTGCCCCCATGTATGTAGATATGCATGTGTAATTATATATACTAAATATACATATAGAAATATTAGTATATATTATATTAGTACATGTATCATTAATATGTATGTGTGTGTGAATATATGTACATACGCATACATACACTTGATACATAACTTAAGAGGAAAAAGCACGCTAATAACTAAGGGCATAAGGAAAGGCTTCCCACAGATAGCGGCACATGGATTGACTCTTGAATGAAGGTGACAGGTAGAGATGAGGAAGGAATGAGTGCCTTCCAGGCCGAAAGGCCATGACTTATGCAAATGCACAGAGAGAGAAGACAGGAGGCTGAGTTTGGGAAATGGTAAGTAGGACGATGCAAATAAAATCAGAGTGTGGGAAGGGGAATAACATATAAGAAGCCTGGAAAGGAAATACTGGAGAAAAAACATACAAGGCTTTAAAAGTCCATCAGAGGAATTTGTATTTTATCCTGGTGGCAGCAATGAGTCACTAAGGTTACTTGGTAGGGGACTGACATGGTCAGAGTTGTGTTTGAGATGGATTATTTTGGCAGCTATTTGAAGATCAGAGAAGAAAGAGAATTGAAACCAAGAATCTAATTAAGACAGTCTGTTGAGGTAGTTCAGGCAAGAGATGATAGGAACATGAACTAGTGACAAAATGTATTTGATCTATCCTGGCTTGAATGGATAATACTGTGGCATGATGATGAATCGGTTGGTTGTTTTCAAATATTAAAAAAAAAATACAATCAAAATAAGTCACTGGGGAATATAAAACTGATTGATTCTGGGATTTGGAGTTGAAAGGGATCTTAAGGAGAAGTAACCTAGTACAATCTCTTGCTTTAGAGATAAAAACTGAGGGTCAGAGGTAACTTACCCAATTACACAGACAGTAAAGAAGCAGAGGTAGGATTTGAACACAGACCCTCCAACTCCAAATCCAATGCTTTTTCCACTACATGACGCTACCTTGTCGGAGGTCTTCATTCAATCTTATCTTTTGGCTACTATGACAGTCTTAGAAAAACAAGTAGTGTTACCATGTGCCCTAGAAGGGCTCTCAACAAGCCTTCCAGACCTGGGATTCAATGAACCTGATACCAACTCAACTGCCACTAACTCACTTACCAGTCTGCGGATATCTCGCTCACATTCCCTTTTTATTCGATTGATCTCATCTTGGTGAGACTGATAAGCTATGCGGAGGTCAGCAGCCTTCATCTTATCTGCTTGCATAAAATTGTTCAAAGCCTCCTCAACCTGCTTCTTCCCAGATTTTAGCTCCAATATTTCCTGCTGCAGCTTTAAGCGTTCCCCATCAAATGATTTCCGGGCTTCTTCTCGGACCTCATTCAATAAGGCAGTCTTCACTTTGTCAGCTGCACCATCTCTCAAAACGTTCACCGTGGTCTGCAAGCGCTGCACCTCCCCATCCTTGATCTTGACCATTCGGGCAACTTCCTGCTCGTGCTGCCGGATGAGTGCCTCCCTGAGGGCCTGCAGCTCCTTCATTTTCTCTTCATGCAGTTTTGCCTTCAGCTCAGAGATATAGGCAGTGTGTTTGTGCTGCTCCTGTTCTCTCTCTTGCTTGACTTCCTGGATTTTCTCCCGCAGCTTTCCCACCTGTAGCAACAAAGCACAGCATGGGTTAATGGATGATCATGGTCAAGACAATGACCAAAGTCAAATGCCTGGGATCCTAAGAAAATGTTTCAGAACTGACATCCTCTCCTCTCCTTTAGCATTAGCTGTCGGGCAAAGACAATCTTAGCTAAGAGAGGCATCCGTTAGATGAGGCAGCTTTGAAAGTATTATTTCCACATGTGTGAACATATCCTTACCTTAATATAACAAAACCTATAGTGAAAAGATTTGGTGATCTGTTATCCTAACAGTTGAGGCCTCAAGAGTCCAAGGAAGGGTTAAGAAACCAGTTTCTGAGCCCTTCACTAAACTCAGAAGTAACCAATAGTCATACCAACCCCACTGAGTCTCCTGTATTCTTCAGCCTCTCAAATATCCTCTGAAAACTTCTCTCTCCTATGAAACCTACTAAGAGTGAGTAGAAATCAAGTACATTTAACGCCTAATTTCCATTCTCATTACAAAAAAAAAGTCTAAAAAATGCAACCTACTGTAAATTATAAATAAAAATTTAAAAATCACACAAATAAGATCATTTTATTACCAAGATTTTACTCAATGTGTAATAAAATCACTGATTCAGAGTTTAAAAGGGTCTTGAGATCATCTAACCCAACCCTATCATTTTACAGAAGAAGAAACTGAGGCTCAGAAGAGTTAAAATGCTTACCAAAGTTCCAGAACTAATAAGGGGTATGGCCTGGACTTAAATTTAGACCCTCTGGACTCAAATCCAGTGCCCTTTCTCCAATGTGATGTTGGTTCTCTATATTTGTTGAGAAGACATGCATATGCTTGTATGCCAGAAGCAAGATCCTCTCAAGTATCATATCAAATGAAGATCTATTCCACACCTACTAGATGCCCAGAACTGTGGCTCAGTACTTTGGAGATTATAAGGAAGTGCAAGCTATAGGTCTTGTCCTCAAGAAGCTTCCCAGATACTTAGATAGATTTGGATACAGTTCAGTGCAGTAGATAGAGCACTGGACTTTGAGTCAGGAAAATGTGGATTCAAATCCCATATTCAACACCAGCCAAGTGACTCTGGCCAATTCACTCAACCTCTCTGGGCCTCAGTTTCATCAACTATAAAATTAAAAAGTTGGACTCAATGGCCTCTAAGTTCCCTTCCAGCTCTAAATCTATGATTACATGATAAACATACTCTGACACTTTAGGAAACTGTCATTTCATTGGGGTTGGCTACCCTCCACTGATACACTTCCTTCAATTCAGTGGACAGTTTTTGAGAGGTACTGTGGCCAGAAATGTTACCATCTTGCCAGCAATCTGGTGATGAACCGCTTCAAATTGATCTAGGGAATAAACCTCAAAGAGAGCAAAGAAAAAGGAAAAACATCCAAATGCACAAACGTATTTAGAACAGTTATTTTTGTAGAGACAAAAGAACTGGAAACTCAGTAAGGTACTCATCATTTGGAAATGGATGAAATTACAGTACATGAATGTGATGGCATTACATTGTGCTGTATAAAATGGTGAAAGGATTAGCTCCTGAGAAACTTGGGAAGATTTATATGAATTGATGCAATCTACACTGGAAAAACAAAATGGATAAAAATATGCATATTAGACAGATAATGCCACGCACCGGGACAGGCAGCACATTGAATTAGTCCATTAATATGTGTATCTTGGACACATGCTACAGATGGATAGTGAATTGGGTACAAAACTGAATGAGATATCAGGTTAGAATGAATTTAGGAAACTTCCTAGTGCTTTTAACATTCCCATACTTCTATCTGTAACAGAAGCCTGTCTCTTTAACAATGACATTCTCCTGGTGACACTGTGTGGATGTGAATCATGGAACACCACTCTTTCAGAAGAATTAAAATTATAAATTACCCAAAGAACAATTGAAATACACATGGTAGACATAAGGATGTGGCAGCCAGTGGCCAGTAAGCATTTGTATGTGAGAAGTAACATAGATGGCATTATACAGGACCACTAATTGAGGAGGACCCATCAACATGTATCAATAATAAAAATTATAATAGCAACACCTGGGATTTTGTGACCCTTTGAGGATTCCAAAGCCCTTTACAAATATTATCTCATTTGATCCCTTGAACAACCCTGGTGAGAGATGCTATTGTTATATCCATTTTACAAATGAGGCCACTGAGTCAGACAGCTAGGAAGTATCCAAGGCTGGATTGAACACCAGTTGAACTCCAGTTTGAACTCTTGACTCACCAGGAATGAAACACAAGAGATGAACAGCCAGAGTCATATGTTAGCTTTCTCAATGATTTAAAAAAAAAAAGAATCAGAAGAAAGTTGTTATTGCCTGGACAATTCATCAGTGAAAAGAATACTTGATCAAAATCAGTGATTGACCAAAGTACCAAGGCTAGGGAGATAAGAGTTAGAATAACTGACATTTAGAGCCAACTCAAACCAATTCAACCCAACATGCATTTTAGTAAGTGTCCAATTGTAGACAAGGCACTATGCTAGGATTTAGGGATAAAAACACAAAACAAAACAAAACAAAAACCCAGTCCTTGCCCTCAAGGAGATTACACTCTACTGAGGAGTGATGCAACACGTCAACATACAAACATATATATAATTGTTTAAGGATGGAGTCAGTACTGACAACTAAGGGAATCAGGAGAAAGGCCTTAGAGATCATCTAGGTCAATTTAATTTTTAAGAAGCAGAAACTAAAGTTCAGAGAAGTTCAATGACTTGTGTGAAGCAGACATAACAGTTAATAGCAGAGTCTGGAACAAGATTCTGGGGCTTGTACTCCTGCTTACAAGCTCCTTCCATTACATGTGTTTTCTCTCCATAGGTGCTACAGGTAGTTCACTTACCTTACTGTGAATGAAAAAGTGAGAATATGTAATTAAAACCTAATAGGTATCTTTGGCTTACCTCTGTATGTATTTAGAGTGTTGTATAAACGTTAGCTCTATCATCACCATCATTGAGTGAAGTGCAGCCTTCACTTACGTGCTAAGATGACCTGTATTAAGAACCAGTCTACACTCCAGGAAGAAGGACCTCTGTGTGGGGCAGCTAGATAGTGCAGTGGATAGAACATCAGCCCTGGATTCAGGAAGACCTGAGTTCAAATCTGACCTCAGGCACTTGACACTTACTAGCTATGCGACCCTGGGCAAGTCACTTCACCCCATTGCCTTGCCAAAAAAAAAAAAAGAAGGACCTCTGTATGTGGGGCTGCCAGGAGAAATCAAGAGAGTAGAGAGGGATGCATTTGCATTTGCTTGCTGTAAGGGGAAGCATAATCAGCTGCCCACAATGCCCGCAATGGTCCTGGTAGCTATGGTGGGGCACTGAGCTTTGGTAATCAAGTGATTCAAGAAGTAGACTTCTTTTTGTATCCCAGTACTTAGTACAGCATCTGACACATAATTAGCATTTAATAAATGTTCATTAATTGATTGATAAGTGTAAAGTTAGAGAAGCTGAGGCTAGATACCTTACTTTCATATTTGCTGGATGTCATTCATATTGGTGAAAGTCTCCAGTGGGTTTAATCCAGAAGTGGAAAAAGACTAGAGTAGAGATATCAAACTCCCCACTGGCAGGCCACAACTCCCCAGTTTGGCCAAAACCATAAAATGCAATTAAAATGTAAATGTATAATGTAACAAAATAAATACAAATACAACATAGATGATGTCAATTTGTGTTTTCTAAGTCAATATGCAGCCTTTAGGAATCTGTTTCTATTTGAACTTGACAGCCCTAAACTAGAGGATAATTCATTCCATCCCATAGGGCAAAGACAAAGAGATAATGGACACATTTATACACACACTCACACACACACACACATACACACATATATTTCCTCCAACGTATCTTGTATATATCTTGTTTGCATACAGCTATTTGCATCTCACCCATTAGACTATGAGTTGCTTGAGAACAGGGACTTTTTTGTCCCCTTTTTTATATCCCTAGTGCTCAGAATTGGTGCTTAAAACATGGTCATTGACTGACATTTATAGGATTCATTGAAGTCAAGAAGACTTGAGTTTAAGACACTGGTGTATTAGAAGCAGCCAAGCCCCAAATGTTAAATTTTCAGCATGAGTATTTAAACCTTAGTAATTTACAAAAACTACAAATCAGGGCATTTTTGACTGATTTGTTAGTTTTCTATACTTGAGAAAGCAATAGAAAAAATGTTAATAATATAGATTAAACTTTAAAATATATGTATATATGGGGGGGGTGAAACCATTTGTTAAACATTTACCAGCACACTACTGGCTTAAGTCCTACCTCTTACATATATGGACTATAAAATTAGAGGCAAGTGACTGAAGTTGTTAATCTACATTTGTATATTTTTTCCATTACAAGAATTCCACCAACTGATTAGACACTAGAAAATAGCAACAACAAAAATGTGCATCACTGAAAAAGCAACAATGCCCTAGAAAGCCTTAAAATGGGAAGCCCAAGTCATGAGCATTCTTTGTGTATCTGTGTCAGCCTTTGTCTCTTGTTCTGAGTGTCTGGGTCTCCATATGGATCTCTGTATCTCTCTGTCCAACTCTGTCAATTTCTCTGTCATTCCTTATGTTCACCCTCTCTTCTCCTTTTCCTCATTCTTCTCCTTTTTTCCTTTCTGTTCCCACTTCTATATGAATATCATTTAATCAGCCATATAATGGAAATAAAAGTGTATTTTTTTCTGGTTTTGGTTACTTATTGTTTTATTCTTTTTTTTACATAATCCAGGTTCAAATCTGGAACATTTGCACAATACTCTCTTCTTTGGCAAGACTGATGAATCAGTTCCCTGGACCTGTGTGAGAGGTAGAGTTGGCAGGAGAATTGGGGAGAAGAGAAGCATCTTCCTTCCTGCTTCAAGAAAGAACACATGCAGTTACAGATTTTGTTCAGGAAGAGACCCAGAGAGAGAGAATAGATTTTGGAAGTCAGATCTATAGGGGAATGCC